ACACCATCCAACGTGAAAGGTTCTCTGCTAGCAGTGATAACAGCAATAAACGGTCGGTACTCCGATGGAAGACCGTTCAAAATGGTCGCCACTTGCTCATACTCGGTCACCGGAGAACCACACGCGGCAAGAGCATCACAAAGCTCTTGACCTGAGATATGAACGTTCGCATGCTCATTTCACCTTTACGAACTGCTTTCAAACGATAATGAAGATTCATTATCGTCGTTGTCGACTTGCTGGCAAAATACTTAGTGACCGTAGCCCATACCTGCGCAGCCGTATCAGCTCCGACCAAGTGGAGAAGGATCGACGGGCTTATAGTGGACAGAAGCCATGAAGCAAGTGCACTGTCTTGTGCAACAAATATTTCATATTCTTCATTTTCACCAACCATACCATTTCCCAGAACCACCGTTGCCGGAGGAGGAGTGACTGCACCAGTGAGAAGTTTTTCCAGGCGATGACTACGAACCGCCAGAAGCACTTGTTGTTTCCATAAGAGAAAGTTGTGTTCATCCAAGACGACACTGAGTCGTTTGTTGGTGAAGATCTTTTGCAGCGTCGCCGATGATACGTCTGTATCACCCATCTCACCACCAGCCTGATACCATGTTAGATTTACTGTAAAACTTTTCTGTTAATCAATACAAATGTTCTGTATTTTTCATTTCACAAGCCTGTATTTATCATTTTTACAACCTCCATACTAGAAGAATCTATTTGTTATGCTAGCTCACCTATGCAGTTATAACCATTTTAACAACTTGGCTAATATTTGTTTTATTGGTTAACACGGGAACACATATTTTCAGAGAATAGTTTAAAACTTTACAAATCAGTTTTTCTTTAAAGAATAAAAAAAGTTAAAGCTTTATCAAATTTCAGCATCCGCCGTAAAAGAAAGACTGATCGAACCATCGTGAATATCAATACTTGCAAATCAAACGATCATCCAATAACCGAACACAAAGAAAAAAAATACACATACAATTTTCTACCAAAAAAGTATTAAAAGAAACCTCCAGAAACCGATTGTCATAAAAAATGCACGAAAGGAACAAAAAAATTAAAATATACAAAAACCGATTTGCCTCTTCTACTGGATTTCCTTTTCATTGATTTTGTTTCAACATAACCAAAATAGCAAACAGATAAAACGAAGGGAATATGATCTATACCTTTTTTATTAGAGGAAGAAGCAGATATTGAAATGACGCAAATCTATCGTGTGCTTCAAAAAAGTTGGGATCTTGAGAAGGGAATTAATAGAGGGGGGGGATACACTGCGATCGAGGAAAAGAATGGATGAAATAACGATTGGTGAGTTGAAAGCCAGGAAGAGAAACAAAAGGGTGCCAAGGAAACCAGATAATACCCTCTTTTTTAAATGAGATATGGTAAAGAAAATGATTTTAATTTTTTTAGTTTACTTAGAACCTCAATAATACCCTCTTATTTTAAAAACAAATACCAGATAGAACTCTTCATTAAGAGAGAGAAAACCAGGAGATCCTATCCCAATAAAGTAAATCTAAAACTAAAACCAAAGTTCCCTCCGGTGAATCTCCGGAAATCATAGCCTTTTCATTTTGTACCGTATTCATATACATTAATTGTGGCAAAATCAACCAAATGATGTGATGAAAAAAATAACTTGCCTAAGGTGTATGAAAAGAAAATTTCGACCAAGACAAAATGAACGATGTATAAGAGAAGATAACCGAATCACTTAATATCTTTACGAAGATCATGAAAGATTCGACGTATTTCTCATACTACCATGGTTGGTGTATACTCATACCTTCCCAAACTATGTAATAGATATTCATTATTCTATGATCTGGACTATACAAAAATTACTAAATGTTTCATATATCTTTCTTAAGCTATTGTTCAAAATATCATACATTAAGAGAATAATTCCTTACAACATATGAGATTCTTTTTCCCAATACCCTAGTTGGTTAATTTTGCCAAATAATTTTGAAAATTTTGCCAAGTTAGTTGCCAATTAATTGTACCTGAGTCAAGTTTAATAAATATATATATTATTTTTCATTATTCAATAAATATATATTTAAAATATTGTATCTAATCATTTAAAAAAATAAAATTTATCAACAACTATTTGGTCTAGTAGAATGAGACACTAGATTCTTTAAGTAAAGTTAGGGATCCGAACCCTGACAGGGTCACCTTTGCCTCTATAGTAATACCCGATATGGATTAGTCGGTCAATAGATCGATTACCAATGGTTAATTTAAAAAAATAAATATTATTATAAAATTATTATTATTGTCAAATGTATCTAATAAATGATAATAAATTAGGATCAAATCATATATCATCTTCGAAACATAGAAAAATATGTTTAATCTTTAATTAATTTTCTTAAATATTTGTTCAAAATATTTTTTAATAATTAATAATATATACACACTAAATATTAGTGTTCAAACTCAACTTTTAAAACAACAACTTATCACTGAAATTGTTTATTTAAAGAAACTCTTAACGATGAGAAAATATTAAATCGGTTAAAAATAAAGTATATTAATAAAAATTTGACTTATTGTTTTAATAAAATTTTAACTTAAAAAAACTTGTTTGAGTGCGTTTTTTTACAAATTTATTTAAAGAAATAACAAGAAATCTAAAATGAATATCATCTAAACCGAATTTATTTATACCACATAGAAGATTTACAATACAGAGATGGGAAAATCTTTGCTGCAATCTCCCTAACTGAATATATGTAGAAAAAGTATAAAAAAAGAATCATTTTAATCTCATATTATACGAATAATTATAAAATAAGATCATCAATGGATGAGATAGGTAAGTGCGAGAGCAAGTAGAAGAAGAACATAAGCAATCCCTTGATCAATTGCAGCGCCATCGCTGGTTGGAGCTGGTGCAGGCGACAAATCCATGCTTTGCCCGTAACTCAACTGCAAAAATGCCATGAACAACAACCCCATGGCTGCAACACTATGCAACTTCATTGAACTCATCTTCGACTCGGAATAAAAAAATGATACTTATTAATCAACGAAGTAATCTCTGGGTTTTTGTTCTCTTCTCAACAGGAGAGACGGGGGAAAAGGAATAGTTGAAGAGGAGAAGGGTGTTGATGAATTTGCCAGGAATTTGATCTAATTAATATATCGTGAGAGTTGTGAGTTAGGCGAGCAATTTCCTGAAAAAGTTGAAGAGTTCTAGAAAATCATGTGTGTGATCCTTCTACGAACGCACACGTCGTCGTCGTTGTCGGCTACGTAAAAGCATAAAACATTGACCAGAGTTTCCAGATTTGAATTATACTTGAATACTGGTTTTTGATTTCGATTGTGTTTCTCGTCTATATTGATCGCACTAAATACTTTTTTACATTTATAATTATGATAAATACTACTACTTTTTAGATTTAACATTATTTGATATAATACGAAAAAAATATTTATTTTGAAGTTTCGTCTCCTTATAAAATTAAAAGCCGTTAATTTAGAATTAAAAGAGTAGTATTTTCCTGCAGAAATGTCTCTTGGAATTGGACTAAGACTAAAGCATCATTACTTCTTATATATATTAGGAGTTTAAAGTTTTTTTTGGGGGGTTGTTTCTCTCTTTTTGTTTAAACTGAATTTTATGTTCTAATTTCAATTTTGTAGGAAAATTAAAATATTTTTTATTCAAGTTGACAATTCTAAGTTTTACTTTTTTTCATTACAGTACATGATGCTCCGTTCGCTTGCCGGACATGTCGAAATAAAGGGAAACAAGTTGTTCTGCTTTGACTCGTACTGTTGTAAAATTTGAAGTTAGAATGGTCAAAATTTTTACATGCATACGGAACACCTTCGTTATTTCAACCTTACTCGTCTTCGTTGGCAAAACATATATTTTGGGTCCATTTAGGTAATGTATTTCACATTGGCGTCCATGTTATTCATGAAGGGATGGTTAAAATATCTCAATTTTTATAATTAGTTTTTTAAATATGAGTTTAAACTGATGAAAGAATAGAGTTGATGTTGAGTTTAAGATATATAAATCTGATCCAATTAATATAATTATTATTATATCATTATATGTATATATAAATAAAAATTATAATAATTCTTTATATATTAAAGTTAATATATAGAAGAATATTTTTACCATAAAATTCAAAGTGGGTTGAAATATCGTTTGAAATCAAATAAAAATCGAGACTATAGATAAAATAGACATGTTCTTCCTCGTACCCATTCCCATCTACATGGTAAGAAAAGTCGAGCACTTTACGAGAAAAATACGTATAGAAAGAAAAAAAAAAGGAAAAATCAAGATCCCGTTAATCCTAAATTGATGAAGTCCGGAGGGAAGGACTTTTCTTTCTGTCTTTCTGAAGATTGTATGGAGTGTTTTTGTTTACCATGTCTGGAGGGAGAGGAACAATAGAGTTATTGCGCGTTAGTTGAGGACTACTGCTGATCTGATCAGTGAGATTAAAGATAGTGTTTATATGAGGTTTAGTGGAACTTTGATAAAGCAGGGAGGTATAAATAATAAACTTTGTATTGATTGGGATATAGCAATTGAGAGATAAAGTAGTGGTTCTGTGTTTTTGCTAATCTTATGTAGCAGTTTTCCTACTATCGGTAGCAAAATTTATCGATTATCCAAAAATAATAAATTGATTAAGTCAACAACAGCTTTGCTTAATCCCGCTGATACATTGATATTGATGATGATGATGATCCTTGTATTTGTATCCAAAGCAAACGTCGCTGCATTTCTTAAAGAACAAGAGAGCCAGCTAAACCTGGAAGCACATGCCAATGGAAACCTAACTTACCAGTCAACTGCCAAAACTACCGGTCTCTGCAACTGCTATTCCCACTCACGTTTGACCACCTTTCTAGGTCTCTACTGCATTTCTACTTCCAGTTCTGGCTATAATACTCACCTGGAAGCAATAAAAAAAAGTCTCCGGAGCTAGCCATTTTCTTCTTGTTATCTTATAGTAATGCCATTTCGCTTTTCAACACATTTTGTTCTAGTCCAAAGTTTCTCCACCTCTTGAGTTCTCTAATTCTCTCTTTGTTTCCTGGGAATTCTGATCAAATCGTTAATGGCAAGGAGGAGTAACAAGAACATACAAGCCAAGCTGGTGGGTATGTCTTTCCCTTATTTTTCGTTTAAGAAAGGAAAGATATTCTTCACAAAATTAATTGCTTTCCTTTTCCACTTTAAACACGATCCTGATGGCTAAAGCAAATTAATTATCATGAAAATGAGTCAAACAAGCATATTCTTGCAAACCCAAAATGCCCCCTTTTGAAGTATTGGTAGACAACAATACTTGAATTAATTTCATGAGCTTCACTAGAGATCAATGGAGAAATCTTTTTTTATCTTTCTTGCAGGTACTTCTTGGGGACATGGGAACAGGGAAAACAAGCTTGGTTTTGAGATTCGTCAAAGGCCAATTTTCTGATTATCAGGTTTATTCTCATTTTACTCTATTTTCTTCCTTTGAGATATGATAAGGGCATATATATCTAATGTAAGTGTGAATGCAATGCAGGAATCCACAATTGGAGCCGCCTTCTTCACTCAGGTTTTGTCTCTAAACGAGGCCACCATTAAGTTTGATATATGGGACACAGCAGGTCAGGAGAGATACCATAGTTTGGCTCCTATGTACTATCGTGGTGCCGCAGCTGCCGTTGTGGTCTACGATATTACGAGCTCGGTAGCTTCCTGTTAAACTTCTTTAATATTATCTTTTGAACATGTTTATTTGGTCATGATTAAGCATAGATCTCTTAGTAACTAATGTCACTGTTCGTTCTTTCTTTGTAATTGGATGTCCTTATGATCAAATGATGATTGGTATTTAAGGAGTCCTTTGAGCGTGCAAAAAAATGGGTTCAGGAACTGCAAAGACGAGGTAATTGACAAAGATCTAAACATCTTAAATGTTCAGATTGTTTGAATTTGAGCTTCAGAACTAATTATTCAAGCATGTTTGATTCGTATTACACTGGTTCAGGAAATCTGAATTTGATAACGTTCTTGGTAGCAAACAAGGTTGACTTGGAAGAGAAGAGAAAAGTGGGAAATGAGGTATATGTAATATGATATTCGAATCGATTGTCTACTTTTTGTTCTGCAACTCGAAAAGATTGCAGATTAGGCTGATTTCTTCTATGCTAGGATATCACAAAATTTGCTTGATATTGTACATTGTTACATACTTGCATACTACTACATCAAAGACAATATTATGAAAATATGAACTATACTGTGTTATTTTTTATATTAGCTAATGCTACATGGTAGGAAGGGTATATTACTATTGCCCTGAACAGGGACGAGGGAAACATTAAAACTAGAAGAAAGTTGAATGTCCCCTGTATATGTTTAAATCAGCTGTAATGTCTTGTGCAGGAAGGTGAGCTATATGCAAAAGAAAATGGCATGAGTTTCCTCGAAACATCCGCAAAGACTGCACAGAATGTCAACGAACTCTTTTACGAAATAGGTAATGATACTGTGTTTCATAAGTCGTTTTCTTCCTATATGATGTCAATCCCCAGGCATCCTCTGAACTTTCTTACGCTCACACGATCTCTTGCAGCAAAGAGGTTGGCAAAAGCTACTCCTTCTCGTACGACTGGAATAAAATTGCATATCCAACCGCAAGAAAGCGGAAGAAGGCTCTTCTGTTGCTCCTGATGACATGAAGGTTTGCTGTATACATGTATGTGATTTGCATTGTTGACATCTAAGTTCCGGAGGAAAAAGAAATCATTTTTCATCTAAATAAATCTGGGAACATGGTTTATCAGTCGAGGGAAAATTCATCTACCAGTATCAAGATCTATACATTTCGCCTTAATTACAAGCAATATTGTTTTATGCCTCATTGATTGACAGGTTGAGAAATCATTGCAGGTCACCGAAACTGAAGATTAAGCTGTTATCTAGTGGAATTTGCTTCGATGAATATCGGCTGTATGTATACTGTTGAAACACAAAACAGCTTTTGTCTCTCTTTTTTTCCAACTTTATTGTCAATTTCAAGTGCCGTCATTTTATGTTAGGAGATGATCATGGAACTCCGAATGAATAAAGGTTCGCTGTAAAGAAATGACTGAATACTGATTTAATAATGCTCATGTCCAATGACGTCTAGATATTAATAACTATATTCGATATTAAATGTCATAATTCATATCAACTTATAAGATATTATCCAATTTTATCTATATCTCATGATTGTGTCCATAAAAAAATGTGTACAGAAGTTGCAAATTATATAAGCATGTATGTGCACTATCGAATTTTAACACACAATCGATTGGAAATTTATGGTAATATAAACTGGTTGGTGGGGCACAAGTGTCCAGTGGTGGATTGTTTTCTTTGGGCACAAGGGTCCAGCGGTGGATTGTTTTCTTTTTCATTTAATTATTTTTTGAGTTTGAGGGGGGTTGTTTTTCCCATGTAGCAAGTCAAGGGATGGCCACATAAATTCAGACAGTTCAAACATCTCATTGAATTGCATCCATAAAATTCATAACCCTTGCATTGCAGTATTGCAGTCAATCTAAAACTCAGAATTTGCCAACATTGAATCTCATGCTCCCAATAAATTTGTAGTCCCAAAAACAAATGAATAAGAACATAACAACCAAGAACGAGTATATTCATATAGGAAATGGTAGCAGATTACAAAAATATAAATCAGGAACTCGGACTTAATTTCCCTGTAGTTAACCTAAATAAGACTAAATCCCAATAAGATGCATGCACAATCCCCTCAATTCGAATATGGTGATACCACTCAACACCATATTCTAAAATAGATGGCCGTGACATCTTATCCACTCAATATATGAAGCAGTATCACATAATTGGAATTTGGAAATTTAATACATCAAAATTGAAGTAGTAGCGAGGTACTAACTATTGTTTCTCAGGACTGCTTTTCGGGATTCTCGGGTTCTTCTTCCTTTTCAGGTTCTTCCTCCTCTTCCTCTTTCTTTTCTTCCTCTTCTTCATCCTCTTCAGGAGGGTCATATGGCATTGGTGGCGGTAATGGTGTTTTCATAGGGCTGAATTGAGGGAATATGTCGGGTCTACGCCCAGGTTTTGGCCTCTCCCATTCCTGCCATGTAAACCGAGGCGCTCAAGTTTAATCATACTATCTATGAAAATAAATAACCAAACGAGAAAAACATAACATATTTATCAAAGAAACATGTTTCTCCAAAGATTGAATTATCTAATCATTATCCATCAATCAAACAAAACCCATCCCAACAAAATCCTACCGAGCCTTTTTTTTATTATTATTCACAAAGCTAAACACACATAAATCAGTCGTTTGGAATTTCCCTGTCCCGTTAGCAAAGCAAGGCGATTGAAAACTACTTATAGATGAATAAACAGAGAAGGAACTCACAATGGGAAAATCAAGGGGATTGCGACGAGTCAATTTCTCCTCCTCGGGAGCCATACAAACCACCTGAAGCCTCTTTCTCATTGCCCGTTGATGGCCCTTAGAGACGGAGACGACGAGGGAGCATCTGCAACCGCTGCTCTTGGCAGTGGACGTTGCCGGCGCTAGGGTTTTGGAAGGTGGCAATACGGATAGACAGATGGAAGATGCCATGATTGGTTTCTTGGTGGTAACATTTACCTCAGGAAAAAAAAAACTGAAGTTAAAACGAGTACCAAATTAACCGCCTTATCTGTGACTCGTGCTCGTCCCGGTTCGGTAGGTCTGCAGTCGACCCTAAATCCCCAATGGCCAGAGCCCATAATTCTAACATATAGGGTCCCTTTAAGCGTTTATGGGTCTATATTACACCATGAGTGGCCCAATCTACCTGTTTGTATATAGTTCTTTCTTAAGGTTTGTTTAGCATTCAGTGCCATTTTAAATTCAACAGTTCCAAATTGGTTTAGATTAGTATATTGGATTTAAACAAATTCAACCTATAATTCTTTGTACTTAATTATTTATTATCTGAATTTGATATTTTTTTAAACCTAACTTCTTTTTATTCATTATAATATCTGAATTTGACATTTAATTCAATTATCATGTTAGACCAAAAAAACCGTACTACATCAAATTTTTTATCCAAATCAGATTTTAAATGATGAATTAATATCTTCTTTTAAAAGAAAACGAGCCCCGTTAAAGATGTTATTTGTAACTGACATTAATAGAATATTGAATTCCGAACGGTGAAAGGAGGAAAAGAATGTACAAAATTATTATTAACATGCTATCAAAACGCAGCCATACAACAAGACATTATAAACCATGTCCACGCAATACAGAACACTTTACCCACCCAAAATTAAGCACGATGCCTAGAACACAAGAAAACACGAGACAGATAGTTTATGGATGTTTATTGCCACACAACTGGGAGACCACAAATAAAAAGTAAAATTAGCGTCGACCGAACATCTGGCCTTGGAGCTGCTTACTAAAAAATTATATATTCCGATGGGAGCGAACCTTCAGAAGAATATACGAATATCAATATATTACAAAAAATAGTTTTCAATTAATTAATCTAAAGTATGAAGGATTAAGCTTTTAAATAATATTTAAAATTTAAGTTTTGTCTTATAGTAAATTTTTATAGTATTCAGTTCAAATTAAATGATAAAAATATAAAAAACACACTATAAAACATAAAGAAAGAGATGAAATGAATCGGTAAAACCCCTCTAAACTTGGATTGAATTGGTATAAGTTGATTGCAATATATTTTTATTGTGATTGACGAGGTTTAGAAATTAAACGCTAAATTTTATATAAAAAAACTGTAATATTAAACCAAATAAATTTTATAAATTTATTAACTATATCTATTGCTTATTCTACATTCAAACAAAAGTTAAAAAAATATGAATCAACTTATCCTAATGATTAAAGGAATTATTGTTGTTTTTAGAAGTCACGAGTTCAAACATCAGTGATTGTAAGGATGATTAAACATTCATTGTTAAATAATTAAGAATAATTAGAACATATACTATTTTATAATCACGTCAAACTAAAAATTAAAGATCCAATAAACTTGACTCCTAATCTAATTTTTAACATTGAGTGGATTGGACCAAGCATAACAAGATAGCATAAACTAGTTCTAAAAAGCAGCTCATCTGGATCTAAGAATCGTAATTATTGTTTATTTGGACTTCAAGCTTACTCATGTAACGCCTGGTACAGCCGGTTTTTCAACGAAGCTCACTATTGTTTAAGCTGCAGTATGATAGTTTTATAGGGTAGTTCTGCGGTGCGGCGCCTAAAAAACGGCTAATATACGGCGTGTGTAACATCTCAACTCGTACCCGATCCGAATACGAGTCCGAGATGTCACATTGATTTTTTAAAAATGATTTCATTTCAAAATAATTGAGCATTTTAATTTATATTAAGAAAATATGACCATATATGGTTCACTTATGCTTGTTATAAAATTTTGAGTTCAAAAATACGTATTTGTGAACTATAAATTACATATTAACCTTTCATCACTATAAAAATTCTCATCTATGCTTCCAAATTTATTTAACAAAATAAATTGAATATTATTAATTACATATACTCATTAAAACATTACAAAACTCATTCGTATGACTTTTCAAAACCGATTAGAACTTATCAGATTTAATCATTTATTTACATGCCAACCACTATCGTTATTACAAAATACACATTATACATTTCTTTTCTGATCTGATCTATGGAAAGGAGAAACTGACCTGTCTTGAGTAACTTTTATCAACCGTCATCTTCTCATAACCTACGCGTGAAACAATCACACGCTAAGTCGTTGACTTAATGAGGCATATAAAATATATAAGAAAACCATATAACATTCCATATAATAAAATGCATACATATTCATATACCATCATCATCATAATCTCTATTTATCATATGATTTTGTACTTATCATTTCTCATTTGATCATCACTAATTTCTTTATATACTATATCAACATATAATATAAACTTCAAATCTCACTATTGCATAAATAATTACCAATCTCATATAACAAATGCATTTCACTTAGAAATGCACACAATATCACATATGAATCTTGTAAATACTTTCAATGTCTTTTATAGGCCCATGTACATTACTGAGAACTCAAGGTATTCAAGTAAATTGAGGTTGTGCACTATTGCTGTCACCACAGCTCGTATAAGTCCCACTGAGTGGCATATGAAATTTGTCCCGAAGGACCTGTGAATATGTCCCGAAGGACCTATGAGTTGTCCCAAAGGACCTATGAAACCCTCGACTCTTGGCATGCCAACTATACCTATAGCTCTCATATCGTATACTATGGGCATTTACAATGAATACTTTTCTCATCACTTGTTCTTTCTTTTCTGTCACATACCACATGTATGTGTAACCATGTATTTCATATCATATCACATGTATCACGTATTGCATATTCATATATCATTTCATATATTCACATAACTTATCTCATTTCACATTGGTCACGTCTCATAGCATATATCACATATGCATATAATCCTGTATATCATATCACATATCTTATGTTTTATGCTCTTATGTTTATGCATATCATGTAACATATATAATAACCTATACTCATTTCATGTATTCATGCACATATAAGAATCACAAATTAAATAACATTTTAGGAGTCACTTCTTACCATAGTAACTCCATCACTGGCTCATCGCAAGTCAATGTCCGTTCAATAATATAAGTACAATTAAAATTGCACTCACCTTAGCCTTGTTTTCTTTGATTCCATCCTAATCCTTTGATTATTCCGGAACTTGTTTAGACTCAATATCTACATAAATATAACATTTCAAAACAACTATCAGAAGCCTAAACCTTAAACTTGATGTTAACAACTTAAGCCAGATTAAAGAACCAAATTCCATTTTTCATTTAGGGGGAATCGATTCCCCCCCCCCAGGGGGTATCGGTTCCCTCTGCATAATCTGGAAATTTTATCCAGAAATTTACTGTTCAAATCCGAAAATCACCAATTCTTCACTAAATTTCTCATACAAAGTTCCTTTCATACCACCAACTTAACTACAACCATTTTAACTAACTTCTATCAATTCCACACTTTATTATTTCCAATACTTCATTCAAATTCTTACAACTAAGAATCATACCCAAATTTCAAACATGATATTAATCAATTCTAACACTCCATATTCCTTAATTAACTTCTTGACAAGTCAAAAATCTTATTCAAACTTCAAAAACTCATCCATATCAAAATTTCATCTAAAAGCCCATTTTTCAAATCCATCTCTAAAACACATATCTTGTTGTTTTAATGTCATATAAGCTTTCCTTTAGCTTGTATAACATCCAAACTTCCATTTCCAAACTAAAAATCAAAGAAACGACCAAGGTTTAGATTCTTACCTTAAGCTTGTGTCTTCACGTTGAGAGAAGAAGATGAAGAAGATAAGTCTCAAAGCTTATCTCTTCAATTCATTCATATGGGTATTATAATACCCTCAATTATTATTTTATTCTTTTATTTACTCAATAACCCTTTTACCCTTATTATAATTCCATATTTACTATCATACCCAACACACAAAATTCCTCCATAAATCACTAGACTTATCACTTGATTCTAATTCACCAACTAAATTTATAAACTCTTACAATTTAGTCACTTACCCGGTAATTGGGATGTTACAAATCTCCTCCCCTTAAGAAAATTCGTCCTCGAATTTTCATTGTACACACATTGATATGAACATATCTTCTAAAGTTCTCATGTTGCTTCTCTCACTTAATCTTCCTTGACATTATTTGAAACTAGCTTTTCAACTTCTTTTTCCGTTTATACATTCATCTACTGTCACTTATCATATAAACAGTAACAAATAATCTCAATTTATTCCTGTCTTTTCTCTCTTCTACTCTGCATTTTCCTTTGATCTTTCTAAAATTACATACAATATTACTCATCATGTAAACAATAACATTCATTTTCAAACTCCATATCATAAATCAATCTATTTATTCATTAATCTCTAATTACCTTATAACTATACTAAACTTTTATTCCGTCATCATTTGACCAAGAACAAAACTTTAAATCTTCATCAAACGTGATTAAACATATACTTTATAGAATTAAACAATCTTTTCACATCACCCGTCACACTTCTCGTATTTCTATATCGAACTTATCATATAAATTTTCATATAACCTTTATCACATATGATCCTTTATACTCCATCCTTTTGTTTCTTTATTCCATTATTTATCCAGAATCAAAATCTCTTTATACAAAGATCGCATCTTTTAATTCATGTTCACATACTCTTTTCCTATCACTTATATTCACATACTCTTTTCCTATCACATCTTTATAAATTTGATAATTAGCTTTACTTATAAAGAACTTTATTCTTCACCATCTCTTGTACTTATATTATTCTTCCTCAAAGCTCCTTTTAAAACTTGTAAATACTCTTATCTTTGCCGTCATCATATCTATATGATCCTAATACATGACCATATCCAAATCCATATCAGACTTAATTAACTCACTTTATCTTTTCTTTCAATCTTATAACTCTATTACCTTTACTCTTACGACTAGCCGATAACAACTATTCAATCTAGGGCACAAGCCCTATTTAATTGATCAAATACCCCTTTTTCAATCCAAATTATCTCAACAATAGTTTACTTAACTTATCAAATCCACATTTATTCTCATTCGCCATGTAATTT